TGTATGTTTTTTTATTCTTTTATTTTTTTATTTTTTTTTCCACCTTTTATTTTTTAAAAGATGTTACTTATTCATGAGAGACACAAGGAGAGAGAGGCAGACATTGACAGAGGGAGAAGCAGGCTCCCTGTGGGGAGCCTGATATAGAACTTGATTCCTGGACCCCAGGATCACGCCCTGAGCCAAAGGCAGACATTCCACCACTGAGCCACCGAGGTGCCCCATCATCGCTTCATTTAGATATGAAATCATTTGGTAAAAAGTACTGATCCTGAAAATACAGCTTGGAGTTTACATGTGTATGCACCTATTGGATAAGCACCCAGATGAAAGTATAGAACATTTCCAGCACTTCAGAATGTTCTCTCATGTCCCTTTTTTGTGTTTTTAATATCAGTAAAATAATACATTTAGATATGACAACTATTGGGGATCCCTGGGTGGCTGAGCTGTTTAGCGCCTGCCTTTGGCTCAGGGCATGATCCTGGAGTCCTGGGATTGAGTCCCACATCAGGCTCCCTGCATGGAGTCTGCTTCTTCTCTGCCTGTGTTTCTGCCCCCCCACCCCCACCCCCGTCTCTTATGAATAAATAAAATCTTTAAAAAAAATGGATACAACAGCTATTAGGGGTATTAGCTGGGCTGTTGTCGGACTAGTTTCCTTCTCAATCCCAACCCCAGATAAGCTCTACACCCAATGTGGGGCTTGAAATCACTACCCTGAAGTCAAGAGTCACATGATCTACTGAGTGAGCTAGTCAGGTACCCTGTCAAACCAGATTTTTTTTTTTAAGATTTATTTATGACAGAGAGAGGCAGAGACACAGGCAGAGGGAGAAGCAGGCTCCACACACACAGCTGCTGTGGGACTCCACCTCGGGACTCTGGGATCACACCCTGAGCCGAAGGCAGATGCTCAACCACTGAGCTACCCAGGCATCCCTCAAACCTGCTTTTTAAAACTGGCCCCTTTGTCCCCATCTGGAGGGGAACCTAACAAAAGTAGCAACTTAGATTTTTTTTTTAATTTTTTTTTTTATTTTTGTTTTAATTTTTTTTTTTTATTTTAATTTATGATAGTCACAGAGACAGAGAGACAGAGAGGCAGAGACACAGGCAGAGGGAGAAGCAGGCTCCATGCACCGGGAGCCCGACGTGGGATTCGATCCCGGGTGTCCAGGATTGTGCCCTGGGCCAAAGGCAGGTGCCAAACCGCTGCGCCACCCAGGGATCCCAGCAACTTAGATTTTTGATGTGAGCACGTGAGCATACACATCCGCTAAACCATTTTCCTCTTTCTTAAGGGTAGGGACTTCTATTATTGGTGTAGTTGGTTAAGTATCTGACTCTTGGTTTCAGCTCAGGTCATGGTCTCAGGGTTGTGAGATTGAGCCACATGTTGGGATCTGCTCAGTGGGAAGAATCTCAGGCAGATTCTTCCCCTCTCCCTACCCCTCTTACCCTTCCCCTGTTGGGTGTTCTCTCTCTCTCTCTCTCTCTCTCTCTCTCTCTCTTTTTTTAAAGATTTTATTTATTCATGAGAGACACACAGAGAGAGGCAGAGACACAGGCAGAGGCAGAAGCAGGCTCCATGCAGGGAACCCGACGCGGGACTTGATGCCAGGCTTCCAGGATCACGCCCTGGGCCAAAGTCAGATGTCCAGCTGCTGAGCCACCTGGGTGCCCCTCTCTTTCAAATAAATATATAAAGATATTAATTTAAATAAACCTTTTTTTAATGAAAATACAAATAATAAAATGGAGAAAAGAAGTTTTGCACTTGATATAATTGACCTGGGGCACCTGGATGGTTCAGTTGGCTGGGTGTCTGCCTTCAGTTCACGTCACGATCCCGGGGTCCTGGATCGAGCCCCGTGTCTGCTGCTCCCTCTTCCTCTGGCCCTCCCCACTCTGCTGGTGCTCGTTCTCTCCTCTCTCTCAAATAAATTAACAAAATATTTTTTAAAAATTATATATATATATAATTGAACTTAACATAGCAAGGTGCTAGTAGGTTAGTGGCATTCATTCCGGTGGGATGGTTGGGGTGGGGGGACAGTCAAGAATAGTTGACAGGTCAGAAACAAAATTCACTACAGAATAGTCAAATGTTATCAAATGGATATTGCTCCCAGTGCAACACTGCAAGAGTTTTATTTCTTTTTATTTTTTTAAAGATTTATTTATTCATGAGAGAGACAGAGAGAGAGGTAGAGACACAGGCAGAGGGAGAAGCAAGCTCCATGCAGGAAGCCCGACATGGGACTCGATCCCAGGTCTCCAGGATCACACCCCGGGCTGAAGGTGGCACTATACCACTGAGCCACCCCGGCTGCCCGCAAGAGTTTTAAAAAGAAGGGAACGGGTGTCTGGGTGGCTCACTTGGTTAAGCTCTACCTTGGCTCAAGTTAATGATCCCAGGTTCCTGGGATTGGGCCCCACATAAGGCTGTCTTGGCGGGGAGCCTGCTTTTCCTCCCTCTGTCTCTTCCCCCCTGCTAAAGCTTTGTCTCCCTCTTTCTCAAATAAATCTTTTTTTTTTTCTTTCTTTTTTTTTTTTTTAAGAAGTGAACAAGTGAGATAAAGTCAGAACTCCAGGGGTGCCTTGCTGGTCTACTCTGTTGAGCTTGATTCTTGAGCTTAGGGTTGTGAGTTCAAGCCCCACATTGGGCATAGAGTTTATTTTTAAAATTTTTAAAAGTTAAAATCTGAGAACTAGAATTGGGGGTATAAGAAGAAATCTTTCAGATTTTGTTTTTTGTTTTTTTAAAAAAGACTTTATTTGAGAGAGAATGAGCCAGAGCAAGATTGAGCACAAGTGAGGGGAGGGGCAGAGGGAGGGAGAGAAGCAGGATCTCTGCTTAGCAGGGAGCCCAATCCTGGGACCATAACTTAAGCTGAAGGCAGACATTAACTGACTGAGCTACCCAGGCATCTCATTTCAGATTGTTTTTGCTAGCTAGGAAATTTTCACTTTGAGGTCCCAGTCTTCCTCTCCCCAGAAGACTAGGAAGATCTAGACTTGTCCTATTGGCTTGCTTGGATGTCAAGAACTTTATAAATTAGAAGATTGCTGATTATTAATAAAGAACCTTGGTGCTAGCAGCATGTTAGGGACTGGACATGCTTGCAAAGATGGGCAAGCAGTATCATCCTTTCTTTTCCCCTTATTCCATCAGCTTTAATCTTCATATCAACACCCTGAGCTGCTGCCTTTTCTCGCCCTTGTATCTTATCCCTTTTATGTTAGATATTCTCTAGTTTCTGTCTTCCTTTTCTCAACATCCTGTGACCTGCACAATCACTGTAGGCTTCTGTGGTTTTCAGATAGTCCTTTAGTAGGAAGTTCTAGGCAGGTCAGTAGGCAAGCTGTTTCTCCTGTGAGTGACATCAAGCTGGTTTCCACAAAAGGCCCTGGTCCTAGACTCAAGTTGACTTTGCCCAGTAGTTGAAAGTTCCTCCTATGGTAGAAAGAACATAAATTAGCTTTGGAGATAATATTAATGAGCTCAAATCCCAGCCCTGCTAGTGGTTGTGTGACCTTAGGTATATCTGTAATTAGCCTGAACCTCGGTTTTTTTCAATCTATAAAATGAAAAAACAAAAACAAAAAAAAAACTCCTGCCTTAAAAGGTTATTATAATAACTAGAAAATAGTTTATATAAAATATTCTACAGTAGGGGTAACTGGCTGGCTCAGTCAGTAGAGCATGCAACTCATGATCTCTTGAGTTCTAGCCCCACATTAGGCATGGGGCCGACTTAAAAAAGAAAAATCCTTTACAGTACTTAATGAAAGTTCAATAAATAATAGTTACTAACTTAATAAAACCAAATGAACAATTATGCTTAGAAACCTCTTATAGCCTCAGAACTCAGATGTTGTTATAATCACAGGATAAAGTTCTTTAGTCCAGTGTCTCACTACTTCTCTCACCATTGTTCAGTATTTTCCCACAGGATGAATCCATTCATCAGACTGATTTTGTCTTAAGTTTTATAGAATAGAGGTATATCCTAGATTGTCAAAACTTTATAGTTGATGTTGCAAAGGAAAGCTTTTCGTAACGGAAGCAAATACATGATGTCTCCTTATGTTAATGAATATATACCAAGTGGTATTGAGGGAGCAACAAGATCTGTTAGTACATGGTGGGGTGGGGGGCTGGCAGGCAGTGACCTACCAAGTAGAGCTTGATGAAGATGGGGGTTAAGGGGAGGGCTTTGCAAATTGCTGATGGAATTTGGAATTTTGGCTTATGCCTGCCCAGGTGGCAAAGGCTTGCCTTGGTAGGAAGGTGAGAGAACACTTCATTTTCTGGGACCAAATGAAGTTGCATTCCATGATTACTTTCTGCTCTGAAGCAGTAGCAGACAGTGATATGTGTACACGAGTGGTTGGGGGATTGTGTTGCTGTTGTATGCTAGTGAGGATGGGGCCTCTTTCCCTAGGCTGCAGCCTGTGGGGCAGACAGGAAGCTAAGGGTTATAGGTACAAAGAAAAGGAATATTGAGGTACACCTGGATGGCTCAGGTCTTAAGCTCTGCTTTTGGCCCAGGGCGTGATCCTGAAGTTCAGGGATCAAGCCCCACATCAGGCTCCCTGAGGGGAGTGTGCTTCTCCCTCTGTGTTTCTTCCTCTCTCTGTGTGTGTCTTTCATGACTAAATAAATAAAATTTTTTAAAAAAAGAAAAGGAATATTGAGTCATTCTAGTTGGGATTGCTCATCCAGAAATGATTAAAATTTCCAAAAAAATGTCATTTTCTAGGATCCTTCCTTTTCTGTACTCCGTTTTTCTGCACTGCTAAAATCCCTTCTGCCTGCACTAACCACAAGTAATCAGTCTGGTGGCTGGGGCTTGGGAGGCAGCAAATAGCCATTTCTGTAATGTCAGCCCTAGAGCAATCATGTGGGCAGGGTATGCCTAACCAGAGAATGGAGATTTTCAGTTTGCATTCATAACTGGAAATAAAGTTCTTTCCTTATTCTCCTCCTGCAGGTCGGTGAGCTGGTAAAGGTTACGAAGATTAATGTGAGTGGTCAGTGGGAAGGGGAATGTAATGGCAAACGAGGTCACTTCCCATTCACACATGTCCGTCTGCTGGATCAACAGAATCCTGATGAGGACTTCAGCTGAGTATAGCTCAACTAACAGTTTTGCTGACAGATGGGAACAATCTTTTTTTTTTTTTTTTTCTGAGTGTCATCTATACAATTTTCTTACAGATGTCAAAGCAGTCTAGTTTATATAAGCATTCTGTACCTGTGATCTTTTTTAGACTGAACTACATCTCTAGTCTCATTTACCATGTTCAGGGTACGAAACTGGAGGCCTTGTGTGTTAACTTCTGAATTGGCAATTTTAGGTGGTAGCAGCCATGCCTGAGTGTATCAGAAGGGATGGATATTTTGCCTCCTTTCCCTCAGGTAGTGCGAATCAACCTGTGGAAAACTGATGGACAAGAGAGGAATATTGCATGCTGCTTACCCTGATTTATTCAATGGTTTTGTTTTCATTTTGAAACCATGCTATCAAATGGCAATAGACTGTTCCCTCCCACCCCCATGAAGTAATCTTGCACCGTGTGAATAGTAAGTACCCAGTGGGATTGCTTTTTCATTTATAGAACATGACCACTGTATGACTCATTCTGACAGTTCAAATCCTGAGATTTCTGAGGACACTACTAGAGGCATTTGTCGTCTTTCCTAGTCAATGCTTCATACTTTTTCTTGGGATTCTTTAAATCCTTGTTATTCTTTTCCCCCAGGCCTACAGATAGGTTCATTCTCAAGAAAAGTGTTTCTTTTCATTCCAGATGACAAGCAAGATGTGCAGAGCACTTTATTCAGTGCATAGCTTTAAGCCAGTTTTGGATTCACTGAGTGGACACCCAAACTCCCAGCTTTCTGCCTTCCCTCAAGGGGTCATAGTAGGTTCACACTGCTACCACAGCTAAACAGACTTCTGGCTAATGGGATCCAGTGGGGTCATTCCTCCTGAGTGCTAGTATCCTATTAAGGGACTCTTTGAAATTCTTAGCTTCTACTTAGAGTGGAAGGACCAATCACTTAGACTATTCCATAGATGGTTGTAGGGCCAAATTCTGCCCTTTGCTTTATATGCAACTTGTATAAAAGTCAAGTTAAAACTACATGAGTTTGGGATAGGGTTAGCGCTTTGAGAAACATTGGAACCAATCATGAATTACTTATGTATTATTCATTTTACATGGTCAGAATAGTGCTTGAAGTGCATTACATTATCAACTGCCTTCATTTTTGGCTCTTTTTTTTTTTTTTTTTTTTTTTTGGCTCTTTTTCTTTATGTTCCAGTTTAGTTTACAAATCCTTTTAAGTGTGGAATGGTTTATATGGGGTCAGGTGCTCCAAAGAATAGATTTCTGAGACCAAAAATGATCTAGGCTATTTAGACTACAATATGAAACCTTCAAAGTTAGTTCCCAGTCTAGGAAGACACTTACTGGTCTATGGTGTGATATGACCCATAGAAACACATTATATTTTGCTTTGGGCCTCATTTAAGAAAAGTAATGTATCTTTCTAATTGTTTTTACATAGGTTAATGATTATTATGCATTCTTTGAACATATACCAAATCATGGTATCCCAGTGACTAGCACAATGCCTGGCATAGTCAGTGTGCAGATGTTTATGTGAGTGAATGAGGGGTGTGCAGAAGCTCTTTATATGGCACAGAGAAGCCAGCTGACACAGGATTATTACATACCACAAGCAAACTAATGAGTTGACGCTAATTTAATGTATTTTTACCTCACACTAAGGTAATGCTTGATAAAGATAGTAATATTCAACTTTTAAAAGTTAGCACAGTGCAATGCACATAGTGGGTGCTCAATAATGTTAAATAAACAGATTTGCAATACTAGACTTCATTCCATCTGACTACTCTTAAATTTTCAGTTAGAGCATAGATACTGTAAAATCCAAATACACACATTAAATCTTGTTTTCCTGAAAGTATGACATCTAAAATACTTGTAGAAAAACCTTGTCATGAACTGATTTGAATGTTTGTATTTTCTTTTGCCTTTGACTTTGATACTGGCTTGTAATGTCTCTTTTCATCATTTGTAATATTAGTGGGACATTCAACTCTACCTAAATCATAAGAATTTTTCAACAATAAGTTGTCTGAAGCCATTAAATGAACTTGGGTTGGATTTGGCTGGCTGTGACCGTTGTTGGACCTTAAATCAAAGGACTTCTAATAAGTATCTTCCAAAAGCAAATGCTAGAATCCTATTCAAGTGCATATGTACATTGTCACAGAGCAAAGTAAACTAATTGGCTGCTATATTTTATATAATCATTTCTGCAAAAGCCCAGTTTTGGATACTAATATTTGACATGGTTAAATCTTATTAATTTGTTGGAATTGTTTATTGTTAATAATGCAAATAGATAATTTTTAATTATCCTTAAGTAACATTTCACTATTAATGGTTTGAAATGGGTGGTAAGCAAACCAATTTGAAATAAAATATGAACATGTGCCATTGTATTATAACACTATACACTTTCTTGACAGTTAAATTTTTTAAAAATGTTTTTTTGTAGCATGTATTGTATATGTTTATAGTATATGTAGTAAATAAAAATATGGCCAAATGTTTGGCTTGGTGATCTTTTGAAGGAAGTAATCTTTGAATATTTTTAACAAAAGAGCTAAATCTTTTATGCTTTGGGAATAGGAGGCATGTATGTACATTCAGCAGCCTACAATCATATAATCAAATAAGGAAGCAATTATACATAATCTGTAGGTACTCATTAAAGATGAGGTTAATCATTGGTGATGTTTTGAAGGGTCTCCAGAAGTCATGAAATAAATTGATTTAAGAGGAACATAGGAATGATTATGTAATGATCAAAGAGCTGGAGTAAGGTGGACAGAGAACATCAAATTTGTCCAGAAATGGCTATATGTGGTTGTAAAGAAAACAAGAATATGGTAGGGGGCTTTATAAAGCAAATGAGAAATTTAGATGTTATATAATAGGTTTTTAGAATGTTAATGTAGATAATATAGTGTAATTTCTCCCTTTTTATGTAAGTAGCACATTTTCAGAATAGGTAATTTAGTAAATACAAAAAAAAAGGTTAAACGTGTTCTTCCCATCGTTTCTCAGAGCATGTGTATATATAGAGACATACCGTGTGACACTATATATACCTAAAAGGGTTGACATTATACTCTAGTTTTGTGTCCTTCGGGTGGTGAAGTTTTTAAATGAAAAGGACAGGGCACCCTGGCTGGATCAGTCAGTAGACTATGCAACTCTTGACCTTGGGGTCTTGAGTTCAAGCCCCACGTTGGGTGTAGTAGATATAGTTTTAAAAAATGAAATGAAAAGAACAAGTTTTGCCAGTCACTTAACAATATTCTGTCTGGGACCGAAAATAAAACATCTCATTACTGCTGTAGACATAGCAGATTGTCAACCAAGAGTTAAAGGAATCTCCTCCAAAGGGAGCCACCTTTGGCATACATAAGCTTAACAGCAAGGTGATTTAAGTATGCTTCAACTTTTTATCAATAAAAAAATAAAGTTCAAAATCTTGTTTTAGGGGATCCCTGGGTGGCTCAGCGGTTTAGCGCCGCCTTCGGCCCAGGGTGTGATCCTGGAGTCCCGGGATCGAGTTCTCCATCGGGCTCCCTGCATGGAGCCTGCTTCTCCCTCTGCCTGTGTCTCTGCCTCTCTCTCTCTCTCTCTCTCTCTCTCTCTCTCTCTCTCTCTGTCATGAATAAATAAATAAAACTTTTAAAAATTTTGTTTTAATACATTTGAGTGTTGGGTTCCTTCACATAATTTTGAGTGCTCCTACCAACTCTTGTATTTATGACCCTAATTTTCAAATTAACTTCTATTCCTCTTACAGATACGAAGAGAAAAGCCCCCTCCATAGAAGAAAATGTGAAAATAGGCATCTTAAGTTTGACAGGAAGAGGCTAAGTATTTGGAGCTCTACTGCCATATATACTCTGAAGATAAAAAGAAATGGGTGGAGGGCAAACAGGAACTAACCATCAAGAAATGAACTTGAGGGGCACCTGGGTGGCTCAGTCAGCTGAGCGTCTGACTCTTGGTTGGCTTGGGTCATTATCTTGGGGTTGTGGGATCAAGCTGCGTATTGGACTCTGCACTCAGCAAGGAGTGTGAGATTTTCTCCCTCTCCCTCTGCTCCTTGCCCCTACCCTCAGTCAAATAAATAAATCTTACCCCCCAAAAATGAGATTCATGAAAAAAGCAATGCTTGAGGATCCTCTAGGGATATAGGATGAAAGCAAGCAAAAATGAATACCCAGGCTAGCTTTTGGTCAGGGAAATGCTTCTGATATTTCTGTGATTAGCCTGATTTTATTAATTTGAGATCTGCATTGGATCCTAGAAAAGTGAGTTCTAGAATAGTGACCGAACGGTCAAAGGTAAACTGATGTAGACAGATTTATTTCTGTCCTCCCACTCCAAGTGGGGAAGACTTTGGACATTTAGCTTTCTGGGAGTGGGAAGGAGAATAGTGTATCAGACATGAGGTTGACTTGTTCAAAGCCTCTTTGGGAAAATTTTATGGAGTTTCTAGCTTCATTTCAAGCTGGTGACTCAGGTGGGCTTCTCCAAGGTTCTGAGTACCAGCAAGGAAACTAGGGAAGTAGAATCCTGAGTTGAGGTGTAAGATGGGTTCCTCCAGAAAGTTTCACTGTAAGTGAAAATGAGTTTGGTACTACATAAGTATAATAATATTGTTAGTTGGATACCTTTGGGCTGCCCTAACGGGATCTGTAAGGCAGGATCGAGCTTCCTGGAGTTGCTGTGGTATTTGCAGGTTTTTATACTAAGTGTTTGCCTCCTCTCCCTAGACCTTCCAGCCTGACTGCAGGTTCCCAGGAGCCCCTAACAGCTAGGAGCCCTAACAAAGCCTTGACTCCTTTGGCTGGTGTTGCTACTGTGTCTAAAGATTACCTGTTGTGGGGTGATAGCAATCTTGACCTCACTCATCATTTTGCAATTACTTGTTTTGAGAGAGTATCACATGAACACAAGGATACCTCTACTGCCTAAGAAAGGGACTATTCTAGGGGATCCCAGGTGGCTCAGCGGTTTGGCGCCTGCCTTCAGCCCAGGGTGTGATCCTGGAGTCCCGGGATTGAGGCCCACATCGGGCTTCCTCTGCCTGTTTCTCTGCTTCTCTCTGCGCCTCATGAATGAATGAATGAATGAATGAATGAATGAATAAATAAATAAATAAATAAATAAATAAATAAATCTTAAAGGAAAGAAAGAAAGGGGCTATCCTAAATAAAAAGTATATAGGGACGCCTGGGTGGCTCAGTGGTTGAGCATCTGCCTTTGGCTCAGGGCGTGATCCTGGAGTCCCGGGATGGAGTCCCACATGGGGCTCCCTGCATGGGGCCTCCTTCTCCTTCTGCCTGTGTCTCTGCCTCTGTGGCTCTCATGAATAAAATCTTTTTAAGTAAATAAATAAATGTAAAGTATATAAATAAAATGAGGAGTATTCATCTGTTACCACCAAAGGGAGAAATAACTCCATGGTTTGCTGACTTTAGCTGTCAGGGCTAACTGGGTGCTTCTGTGAAGAGTTTTTTTTTTGTTGTTTTTTTTTTATGATAGTCACAGAGAGAGAGTCAGAGACATAGGCAGAGGGAGAAGCAGGCTCCATGCACCGGGAGCCTGATGTGGGGTTCGATCCCGGGTCTCCAGGATCGCACCCTGGGCCAAAGGCAGGCGCCAAACCGCTGCGCCACCCAGGGATCCCTTCTAGTTTTGGTCAGGTTATAGCAGTTCTAAGTGTGGTAGCTCCTGCAGCATAGATCCCTGCCCTTGTGAATCTTCTAAGAGTAGTAGGACAAAATCCACATCCATAACCTCCATGGGGGCCCCTAGTGACTCCGAAAGTAAGTGTTCTGTCAAGGTCACCAGACAGACACATGACGGGCAGCAGCTTTTTGTGAGTAACCACTTGGAAAAGGCACCCTTTCGCCTGTGCGGACACGGCCCCATGCCAGGCTCATGGCTTGACAAGTGCAAACGAGAGTGATTTGGATTTCAACCCCTCCTACCTCCTCAACTGAGTGCCCGTCTGGTGCATGATTGTACATGACACTCCATAAATAGCTTTGATTATTCTGTTTAATGTTCCAGTTGCCTGCCCATTTATAAACATCTCTCCACCACATCCCTGTCACCACCAAATTCTGTCAGCTCTGCCTCCAGAGTATTCCCTTTATGCCTCTACCACCCCCACCACCCAAGCAGCCATCTTTCCTGTGGACTGTTGTGACAACCTCCTTCTTGGCCATTCACTCCCTAATCTGTTCATTAGAGCGACCAGGATGATCTTCTTGGGCAGACTTGATCATGGCATTCCTTCGCTTAAAAATCCTTTAATGCGGGATCCCTGGGTGGCTCGGCGGTTTCACGCTTGCCTTTGGCCCAGGGCTCGATCCTGGAGACCCGGGATCGAATCCCACGTCAGGCTCCTGGTGCATGGAACCTGCTTCTCCCTCTGCCTATGTCTCTGCCTCTCTCTCTCTCACTGTGTGACTATCATAAATAAATAAAAATTAAAAAAAAAATAAAAATAAAAATAAAAAAATCCTTTAATGCAGGGGGTCCCTGGGTGGTTCGGCGGTTTCACGCCTGCCTTTGGCCCAGGGTGCCGTCCTGGAGTCCCCGGATCGAGTCCCGCGTCGGGCTCCCGGCATGGAGCCTGCTTCTCCTTCTGCCTGTGTCTCTGCCTCTCTCTGTGTGTCTCTATGAATAAATAAAATATTTAAAAATAAATAAATAAATCCTTTAATGCTTCCTCTTAGTCATAAAATACAATCTGCATTCCATAGTATGGCCTACATGGGAGTGTTCTCTTCTTCAGCCTGCCTCATTCTCTATGCTCCTGTCAGGCTTTTCAGCTGGTCAGATGAAGGGCACCTGGCTGGCTGTAGCATGCAGCTCTTGACCTTGAGGTCGTGAGTTTGAGCCCCACATTGGGCATAGTGATTACTTAAAAAAAAGAGGGGAGCAAATCAGCTTCTCAGATGAAAAAGCCCTTGCCCACTCTAGGACCTCCCTACCCCCAACTCTGACCTGTCACTTCCTCAGAGATGACTTCCTTTAATCCCTGTCATAATCAATCACATCATTTACCTTCATGGTGCTCATCTCATATTATGACTATGTATTTCTGTGGTAATTTCATTCCATCTCTGTTAGACTATAAGTCCACTCCAGCAGGGCAGAAGCTACATGTGATTTGTTCATTCCATCTCGAAAGCCTAGCACAGAGCCTCACAGTAGACTATATATATTTATTGAATGGAGAATGTTTCCTTCAGAGTTTTTAGTGCTGGGGAACAGAGACCCAGCTGATTACCTCTCAACTGCTGTCTCTAGTTTTCCTGGTCTTGGTGTATGCTCAAAGACTATAGGTATGTTTTGTTTTATTTTTTTATAGGTATGTTTTAATATTAGAGTAAAATCCATTTAGGAAATGTCCTTCTGTTACAGAAATGTGAAATGGTTGTCACAGCCTAGTCTCAAAGGTTTGGGTGCTTCCCTCTGGCCATGTTCCTTTCCTTTTGCAAAGAAGAGCTGGGCGGCCCGGGTGGCTC